GTCAGAGGACACGGGGACAAGGAGCAGTTTGTCAGTGACCGGGTTGTGCTGCACTCAGCAGCAGCCAAGTTCCCTCTCCTCTGCACTTGGCCGAGTTATTTTGGTCGAATGACAACAATATTCACACTTGGTTTAACTACGATTTGCACGGCAAATTATTCATATTTCACTCTTCAAAGTTCATCGTGTTTTATTTTTATTTTGTGTAAAAAAGACCGACACAGAGCGGAGCACAGCAGTGAAGCTGAAGGAAAAGGTCAGATGAGATCAAAATGGCCCACAACCAAAATACCAATGCAGCACTCTACTTCACCCTATACGTCATCTTCCCTACTGGCGGAGGCAGCATCAGGCTGAGGGGATGCTTAACTTCAGGAGAGACTGGGAAATACAGAGCGAAATACAGGGGGATCCTAGAAGAAAACCTCAAAAACATGCTGTAATCAACCATTATGTTTAAAAACCTAACCTTTATATCAAATAAGTAAAAATTTCAAAGCTTTGCAATAAGAGAAGATGGAAGACAAGGGGGTTTAGATGTTCTGCTCAGTTAATTTTTTTTAAATACTAAAAGCCCCTAAAGATGTGGCTGATTCACTGAATATCCAGATCTAAATCCATCTGAGAACCAAGATAAAATGAACAAACATTGTGGAAACCTACCCTGAAAAACTTGAAGTGGGGAAAATAGTTCTAGAAAGTACACTGACCTAGCAGAACTTAGCATCACTTTTCAGATTTTACTTGTAAAAAAAAGAAGCTGAAAACCTTAAAATCAGCTTAAAGTGTTAATGACAAAACATGATAAATGACGAAGACTTTTCCAAGGCTCTGCATTTTATAATAAATAAAACCGTTTCTTCTCCCTTATTCATTCTCCTGTTTTTTGGGGGGTTTTTTCCTCCACGTTCTCCTTCTGTCCCAAGAAAACCAGGCTCTGCAGTTTGCTTAGCCGAGTCCATAAAGAGGTGTTTTAAAAAGCCGTGTTAACACACCAACAAAGCTTTAAATGCAACCCCCCTCTGTGAAGGGGAGGTTCCCACAGGCGTGGCGCTCCACCGCCGGGCCTCCACCCGGCCTCTTATTCAACCTCTCTGCACAGTCACGGTCGCTTATGGTAGGTGGAAGGAGGAGGTGGGGGGGAGAGAAAAATCTCACAATTGAGCCTAGGTCTGATCCAATGACATGTTTTTTTAATGAGGTGGCTCTATGTCTTTGTTTGGGCACCAAATTCAAGTCCAGACCTGAGCAAGTGCTGCTGAATAAGATGCAAGTCCAGAGCCAGGCACAACTCTGCACACACACACTAGAAAGCACAAAGGCCCCAGTGTCTGCCGTCCCAATGAATGGCCCTTTACTTCACGCCACTCTTTAAAGAAACATCCGTGGCTCTTCTAACACTTGCTTTAATTAGCGTTCGCAAAGGACAGTTTTTAATGCAGCGTTTCTCGTCCTTCGTGTCGAAGGCAAAGCCTGAAACTCGTTTTAGGGTTGAGACATTTTTCTGTTTCATTTTCACCAGTTCTGCTCATCTTTTGCAGAAAACGCCACACCGTGCGCCACAGGTACAGCTGCACGTGTCATATGGTCTGTATACGTCTGAGTGCGGAGCAGGTGCTCCGCCGGTGTGAATGTTTCAGGGCGAGGACCGTCATTAAACTGTCCGCCTGCATCACCGGACTCAAACATCACCCTGTTTGCTGCGCTTCTCGCTCGGCCCACACGCACGCACGCACGTGCACAGTTTTACCTGGCAATTGGCCAGGATTCAAATGGATGAAGCATACAGTCTGTCTCCTCACATTCAAATCAAAACCACTCCACGATTTTAAAGGTTGATGTCAGCCTCTGCTGACGTCCGTACATGTCAGGCCTGCTGCCTGTGGCTAACCTTTTCGTTGTGTTATCTGATATAATCCTGAAGTCACACTGTTGAGATTTTCTTCCGGTTCTGTCCGTCTGTTCAGATATTTGTGCAGGAAATCTTTCACACGAAAAGGGAATCTAACGAAAAGATTTGTCAGTACAGTGCTGCTCATAGGCATTCCTTCTTCCTGTCACAAATAGAAACGTGAATTGAGCTTTTTTGGGGTTTTGTTTGATAGACCAACACAAATCGGTACATAGTTGTGAAGTGTAAAAGAAATGAGACATGGTTTCGCTAAGCCTTGCCGTTGCGTTCTCATCTCCCTTCAGTCCTCCATTTGGGCTTTCTTACATCGAACTGGATTTCTCAAAAGATGCGGGTCCAGACCGTTTGTACGAAGCAAAGCGTAGAACAAGGGACAGTGACAGTGGAGGGTGTCTGAAGTCGAATCCACTGCTTTTTTTTCTTGCAAAATGACTACTCTTATGGAGGAGTTTCAGGAAGAGAAAAAAAAAAAGTCAAAAGAAGAGTCTCTTACAGTTTGTCACAGGCCATGTAGGATACGTGGCCCGCTGTGAAACTCAGTGTTGGCAGCATCGTGCTGTGGAAACGGGTCTTGAGTCGAGAGAAAAATGGAAGTCTAAAAGGCGAAAGGTTCCCCTTCCAGCACAATAGTGACCTTAAATCTCCCGTGGAGTGTTAAAGGTCAAACCATGTTAAAGTTTGGCAATGGCCCAGTCAAAGTTCAAACTTTATCAAATTGAGAAAAAAATGCTGACAGATGCTTTTTATCCAGCCGGCTCCTGAGCTGTTTCACAAAGAAGAGCGTTTCAAATCAGATGCTCTAATCAGAAGTTTTAATAAGTGTTGACTCAGTTGAAAGCACACCAAACTTTTCCATTTTATTTGTAAGATAATTCAAAAAATAAAACCACATTATCATTATTATTTATTGATTTTTTTTTTTTTTTTTTTGCTTATTGCAGAATTATGAACTACTTTGCGTTGGCCTGTCATATGACATTTTTTGGCTCTTTGATCAAAGACGGCAAATCCCTCAACAATGTCAAGGCATTTGCATAAAAAGCAAATTTTAAGGTTTAAACAAAGAATTAAGGACAGAATTGGGCTCCCACAACATAAAACAATAATGCGATGAGTTGATTTACCAGCCAGGCGGTTGAAGCGCTCTTATGACCTCTCATTCAGTCAGACTAAAGCTTGTGAGCGCCCGGAGAGGTTCTGGTTTGTGGTGAAAGGAAATTAGCATGCAGATTAGCAGACATGCAGCTCTGTGGATCAAATACATATAGTCAAAATGAAGAAGTAGACTGGAGTGGGTGGTAAGAGCCTCTCGTTCACCTCTGTGCCCACCACCACCACCGCCATTCCCGCTCCTCTTCAATGCCTAGTTCCACATGTCCTGTCCCAAACCTTAATGGGACGTCAGACGGACAGCATCGGCTGAATCGAGCAGAAAGAGCAGCCTCAGAGCCCCCTCATTTAAAAAAGCAACCCCCCACGCATCTCTTCCTTCCTTCGCACTGCTAGCACCCACAAGCAGCCCCCCCTACCCCCCTTTCCGTTCTCTGGACTATTCACGGGGTGCCAGACACTCTCTGCATAAATTATCCTCGTCTCCCTGGCGTCTCGTCAGCCTGGTCCGTAGGTGTGCCATCTTTCCGGGATGCTGTCACCTCTGTTTTTTTTTGTTGTTGTTTTGTTTTGTTTTTTTCCCACCACCTTCAAGTGTATCCCAACAACTAAAAAAAAAAAAAAAAAAAAAAAACACTCTCACTACCTCTTCTGCATGCATCAAGCTTTTGTCACTCGTTCACTTCCATCGCTTCTTCCAACTCCCCCGTCTCTCCCGGCTCACCTGCTTTACATTCGCCGCGTCACTTCAACCTTCTCTTCGCATACCGTTGGCATTTTTTTTTCGACACCTAAACAAACCCTCTTCGTTCTCAGGCAGGATATTGTTTACATCTGTCTCGGCGTACGCTGACAGAGCCCCTCCAGGCCTCACAGATGTTGCAATAATACGGGGGGATTAGCGGGCTTAACACTCCGGCTTATTTAGCGAGTTTTCCCGATGGCTTGGCAGCCTCTGATTTTGACCTTTTGTTCCTTGTTTCATTTAGCTGAGATCTCTTTGATTTGGGATTTTTTTTCTCTCCCCCTCACTTTCTCTCTGTTACAAGCATTCTGATGTCGTTTTAGTTGTGCTTCAGGCTATTTTACGCTGCAAAATCTAAATTTGGGTTACCACAGAGACACAACCCTTATCATATGTTACATTTTTTTCCTTCTTAATCATATAGTGATCTCAATTTTTAAATATCCGCCTTACAGAATTAGTTTTCTTGGTCTCCATCCTGGCTAAAACGACCGTATCACGCTGTTGGCTTGCATGTTATTGACTCAGTTGAACCTCCTTGTTCTCCTCCACTCCTCCCTCTAACTCAGCTCTAAAAGATAATTAGATGTTCCTCTCAGACTCAGCACCTCTGCTATGTCTGTCTGCGTCATGCCGCACGGTTGAGTCCTATTTTATGACGAGGCAAATCTGGCATCTGTGTGTGTGTGTGTGTGGGAAGAGAGGGGTGTGGGGTCAATTTATTTTTGTCTGGATCCTAATCCCAGAGGTGATATTAGTCTGGTAGACGGTTGAACCGGCCCTCCCTCCCCGAAAGCACCCAGTTTTCTGCATGCGAGTGCACGCCAGCGCCCGCAGCCATCGGGGTCAGGAAAGAAGCCCAGACAGGGCTCTGCTCTGACCTTTAACCCCTGGCTGTCTGCTAGCTCCAGGTCGCACACGGCATTGATGCAGACAGCTGACAGAGGCACAAACAAACGTACCAGCGCACCCCTCCTCCTGCCGTTAACTTGAACAGTTTTATGTGTCTGGAGCGATGACACGCTCCCGGCTGGCAGACGCACGCGCAGAGTTGTTATGATACATGCTCAGAAATTGCACGGTCTCATGTTTGAAAAGTACACCAATCTGCTCATGCATTTGTGTAAGAAATCCTCTCAGTGTTTGGAAAGAACCTTGAGATCTACAAAGTTTCTAGGATTTCAAAATTGATCAATGTTTTTTTCTCTCTCTCCATATTTGGTGTATTTGCAGATGCAGTCGGTGAAAGGCCACCATGAGGATTAACAATGGGCCCTTTCTCAACATTGGGCCTGAAAAAATAAGATGGCACACATGCCTCCTTTAGCTAGCTACACAGTTAGCCTGCTCCAGCTTCCCACCTACCTGATCAGTTTGCTGCACCGTTTGGGGCAGATAATCCATGTCTTGTCCTTAAGACATCAGGTAAAAAGGAGCCGCTTCTGAAGGTGAGTTTAATCATTTAATTTTTTTCTATGTTGTGTTGTCTTTCATTCTGCAGATTTGTCTGTAGCTTGCAGTCCGTCATGTTTAAAATCGTGCAATAAGACTTTGCTAATAATAAAATTTGCATTTCTATTTTATTTTTTCCCCCACCCTAAAAACAGCATTTACAGATACAGCTCCCGGCACTTTTAAAGGCTGATAGAGATAAGTAAAAGGCCTGAAAATAATTTCTTTTTTTGCAGCAGCACAATCGCACATTTAAAAAAATGCTGCTATTTTTATTGAGGTTTAGAGATTTTATTTCACCTCTTTTACCAGCCTCTTCCCAGTTACAGGATCAACTTTGGTCCTTTTTCATCCTTCTTTGTCACTGTTTCAGTTCTTTCCATTATTCCTCTGACTCCAGATGTGGCAGGTTAACCCAGCTGGTTATTTTAATGTGGTTATTTCCTGCCTTACTTGGTTTATTCTCTTCTCTCTCCCATTTCAAGATTGGCATAAAATTACTCAGATCAAAATGATGAAATGATATTTGGACTTTTAGAAACAATGCTTATGTTAGGTCTATTTAGTGAAGAATGTTGTGCTTTGGATTTTGTAAGAGGAAAACAATTTATTTCTTTTTTTTTTGTCAAAATATTTCTTTTGAATTTAAATTTTTTCTTTCTTGTTTTTAGTGTGAGATTATGCTACTGCAAGAAAAGGTAACATTTATTCCACGTCATTACCAATAGTTATAAATGAGTGCTGTGTAATATTTGTGATTGTGAGATGAGTAAGATTTTCTTGAACCACAGTTTACTGTTATAATATTCTGAAATTTTTAATAAAACTGATAAAAATGTGAAATAACAAACCTGCTGCCTCCTTTGTTTGTTTTTTGGTTTTTTCTTTATTCTTCAAATGTTTCTTTGTATCCAGGAAATACGTTTCCTGGAATGCATGTTCAAAATTAATTTTCTTGTTCCACTCCAATATTCTTCTTTATGTTTGACAGAAAGTGAGGTGCTTATGTAACAAGTTCTTTCCCCTTTTTAATATACAGCCTCGTTTTTCTGCTTTAGTTTATTGTGCTTTGAAGAAATATGACCTGGAAGGCAATTTGTTTCTGGTGTTTTAACATGATTAATTACCAGAATAATGTCTCGTTTTCGAAAAAAACCCACCCAGTTTCAGTACATGAAGGTGTTAGAAATGATATTTCCTGATATTCCAGTAGAGTGGGACGTTGTGGGAGAACAGTCAAACCACAGTGGCCTTCATCTGTGGTGTCAATTATGCGTCTTTGTATGTGAGCAGCGGGGGCGTTAAAACGAGTTGCTGGAGCTGAAGGAAAGTTTGAACAAAGATGCACATTCATTACCACACACACACACACACACACACACTGATTCTAGGTTTTTGTGGGAATCACACCCCCTTTTGTTTTCCCCTCCCAACAGCCAGTGGAGGCGATGCCCCAGTGCCCCCAGTGTGCTCCACTGCTTCAGCTGAAATGGACTCATCCATCCCTCCCCTTCGCTATCCCCAGCAACACTGTCCCCTCTCTCAGTCCAGGCGCCCCCGCCCCACTGGTCCTGACCTGAAATCATAGCACCAGGCAAGCTATAGCCTCCGTGGTCAAGCTGGCATAAAAAGCAGACCTGTATGAGTGCACTGTGGCCCCCGAAAGAAAGCAAGATTATCCCATTCTGTGTGTCCAGTCACCAGTGCAGTATTGACCACGGCGGGCCACCCAGGGAGCGTCCAGCCAGCCGTGAGATGGCCTGATATACATGCTTACTGGCCGTGCCAGATTCCCCCACTCTCACTGGAGAGAAGCCCCGTTTGCTGGACGCTCCCTGACGCCACAGAGTGACCAGCCACACACACACACACGTACACACACATCTCAGCTCCCCCTCTGTACAGTAAAAGACATTGCTATCAGGTCGTTTTCTGTGTCCTGTGAGGCGAGGCGGAGGTCAGAGGGAAGGTGGAAAACCTCTTTAATGGTGGGAATGATACCATAACACCTATAGATAGAGTTACGGATCATGTCACATAAACTGTATACTGTGTACCAGTCTGACAGCAGGGTTCACTCCGTCCAGATGAGACAAGCGGAAAACAGCGGCCTTTGTTGAAGCATTTGTCTTTACATCACACCGCTTTAAAGTTCATGTTAAGATAATTATAAGGAATAAAACTAGTTTTTTTTTTTATCGTAAAACTAATCACTCCGATTGATTTAATCGAAAAGATCCGACCACACAGCCCAGGCATTGTTTATTTCCAGCCAGTCGCAGCGTATTTATGGTAAATCCTGCGGCTGTGAGAGCAGCCCATTATTGACCTGAATAAACTCTCAGGGGCCTGTTAATTGTCTTGTAATTGCTCAACTGCTTGTTTGTAAATGGAGGGCCTCTAATTACATCCTGGTCCGTTAACAACACAAAGGCCTCCAACAGCAGGATGAACAAAGCCGGCTGGTTGTATAACAAATAGGGACAGTTTAATGACACGCGTATCCTGTCCTGTATGTGAAAAAAAAAAAAAAAGAAAATGCCAAAATCTGATAATAAAACAAATCGCTGCAAAGTTATTGATTTAAATTGTCATGCCAAAATGTAACAAATTTATAGTTAAAGGGAAATTAAATGAGAAACTTCTCATTTATAATGTCTGTTAATAGTATGTGGAAGGACATGATAATAAATCAGTAGTATTTGTTGATGCAGTAGTGAGTTGTGTCACTGTGTCTAATATGTTATTGATTAATCTGCACAATGTGTCTTTAAGTTGATCTGCCTGCAGTTCTGCTGAGGAGCCAAAGAAAATCAGGTTGCTCTGCAAGCAGGCTTCAGCTCGTGATTGTTGGGTCTGGTGTCTCCCATCTTCCTCTTGACAAAACTTTGCAGATTCTCTGAAGTCCATCTCGGGTTCAGAAGTGGCCTGACACAAAAAATGAGAGATGTGTCTCATGTTCTACATCTGTTTTCATCTGTTTTTTTTTTAAAATATAACATTTTGGAATAGGCTCTCTTCACAATCCTGCTAAGGCTGTGGTTTGTATTTTGTGCACATTTTTTCCTTCAACTTAACTTTCCAGCTATTGCTCGAATACTTCTTTCGTTGTGACCGTGTTTGGCTTACGCTCCTCGTGGATAGAGTCAGTGAAAGTCTGCTGTGTAAACTGCCAAGACAGCAATATATCTTATTATTTTATAATTAATAACACTGCTATACCAAAACGCATCTATATTACAAATAGCTTGATGTAATAGTTAAATATAAAAAATCAAATAATCCAATATCTATAAGCTATAATCATTACAATTACCGGAAATAAACTCTGAATATTTTACTATCTTATTTTTATTTTAGAATATACAGTCATATTGAATGAATTAGAATATTATTGAACAGTTCATTTATTTCAGTAACTCAATTCACTGAGTGAAACACATTATATAAATGAATTACACACTTACTGGTGTTTTCAAGCCTTCAATTCTGTAAACTGATAATTCTCCACCTACAGCTGATCAAAATGCATAATTTAAGATTAGAATAATACTTCAGACCAATAAAAAGACATTTTTTATGCAGAAATGTGGGCTTGATGGAAACTAGGTATAATATCTGCTTAAAAGTTATTTTCAAAAGGTACTTTTAATCTGACAAACGAGCCTCATCAAGACGCTTATTCTCACTTTTTTGAAAATGGCCGTGCATGACTTTTACTGAATTTTGGGATGGGGTTGGTCGAGTTCAGAGGAGTGGGAGGGAGGGCGGGGGCGTTAGGGGGAGCTGCATTAAAAAGTCCGAGAACTTGGAGTCTAGTTTGTCATGCTAACTGCAGTGATGCCATTGAATGTGGACACAGGGAGCAGAAGGTTCACAGGACCTTGGCTATTCTCATGCAAACTGCTCTTCTTCGGCTGTCCACCCACCGCACTCCCACCCACCGTTCATGGACGTGTTTACTTATGGAAACACGCTCAGTGAGACAGCAGAGCAGGATGTCCCAGTACTGTAAAAATACATAGAAAAATATGTATATATAAAAAAAATAGAAGATATTATGCAGAACACTACTAAGTTGTCTTTTACTCGTTTTGCATTGAAACATTATGTTCCAATCCAGTGTAAAAATCGAGAAATACAAAGAAAAGAAACACAGCTGTACATAAAAAAAAACCCAGTCTGCATTAACTTATTTTTTTCACACCCTGAATTGGCACTCACAGGCAAAAAGAGGCAATGATTTGACCTCATTTACTGCCAGGTTGAAATGAATAATTATGCCACTGCACGTTTCAACAAATCAAACAAACATCCAGCCACAGATTTCTATTCCAACACGTTTTCTTAAATCGGCCCTTTGCCCCGTTTCTCCAATTTTTTGCTGCTTGCTGTGGCCTGCACCTCTCATCTGATTCACCTGATCGAGAGACTGGAGGACGCCGCAGCTCATTGGGTGTTAAAATCCGTTTAAAATGCCAAGCGGTGAAAATATCAGGTGCAGCACGGACACACGGCAACCTATACATTTACCCTCTTTAAATGCAAAAAGACCACATGCAAATGAAAGCATTAACCGCCTCCAGGCTTGAAGACGTGAGAAACGCTAGCAAGCGCACACATACGGTTTTGTGTGTGTGTGTGTGTGTGTGTGTGCGTGCAAAGGTGCCGAGATTAATGTGCAGAGATTTATGCACACTATAGTTTCCAAAGCAAGGATAGAAGGAGTCTCCATTTGTAGGTGTGTGTGACAGAGTGTGTGCCCTCCCCTGTGCACTTGGAGCTAGCGTTTGATTGAGTGAAGGCCAGCGCAGTCTGAACACTCCCTCTAATGGAAGAGAGGAGCCCAGCAGCTCAGTAATGCACTGACCTCAGAGCTTTTACAACGCTGCCAACCGATAAGTGGCAATATGCTGGATCTTATAAAATTAACAAGACCGAGAAGGTGGAGGAGAGAGGAGAGAGAGGGTCGCAGCGCGAGGGTTCCTACAGCACTTGTAAATATCATCATGTATGCAGAGAAAGACTGTAGCTTATGGGTTTAGGGTCACAGCAGCACAATTAGGTATTTACTCATCTGTTTTGTGAGGATGTTTTTCAGAGGTATTTTACGGGGAAACGTTTACAGGCTCCCTTTGTGTTTGATAAAACGCCCTCGGAGGCATTTTAATACCTCTGAATATATGATAAGCTTCCTCTGAGGCTGCTGCTTGGGAGGCTGACGCAGAGCAGACCTTCATAGTGCATGGCAACCAGCCAGCCTGGCTTCTGCAGGGCACCACAAGAAGTCGGAACGTCTCCGCATCCGAGTACATAGGTTTACCGCAGATCAAATAACAGATGTGTCTTATTCCCTGCAAAAATAAATAAATAAATTGATCTTGTAAACGTAGCTGTAACTTCCTTGGAAGCTATGTGCCAGTAAGCTACCGGAGAGGGGTTCACAGCACAGTTACAGCGAGAAAATATGTACAGGGGCTGTGCTGTCAGCGGCAGCTCTTGCATGCAATGTGTCCTGGGCGAGCGCTCGTCTTCCCAAACCAGCTAAACACATTTCGAAGAAAAATCATTTTAGGAAAGAAAAATCAATATTTTATTACGGAATTTATCAAAAACATTAGGAACTAAAATACACTGGTCTGACATTAAGTTATCTTGAATCTACATAAATATTAATAGATTCTCATAAGCTGGAGTCACCACCTAAATTCCCCATTTTTACGTCAATAGCAATAAAACTTCATTTCAAAGCTCCTCTAATCACTGTTGAAAAATTAGGTCAGCATTTGTACCGTCCATGTTGTGAATTTTGCACTGATAAAAAGCAGTAAACGAACCATCAATATAAAT